ATTAGTGCGAGTTCTTCCAGCGAGGTGCCCTCATCAGCAGATACGCCTACTAGTATGGCGACCTCTTCAATGATCCCGGCAGCTGAGAATGCTTTGACGACACCCTCTGAAATAGCAGGATTTCCAATGACATTAAATTCAGCTACAGCAGCACCGTCTTTATCTACAATTGCTGTTTCAACCAATATACCACTTCTCGCTGATACTCCATCTACTATGGTAGCAGAAACAACACCCTCGAGCTTGGAAACAGCTTCAACCTCACAAGTGCCGTCAAATAGTGGAAATACTGTAGTGCCTATTTCCTCAAGATCACAACTGGCAACGACGACGCAGCCATCAAGTTTGCTCAGGACTTTCGCTGAGGATGCAGTAGTGGATTCGCCTGTTGCTCCGGCCCCTCAATTTCCAGGCGCGCCAGCAACATTAGCGACTAGCGCGCCGGCAACATTAGCGACTAGCGCATCGCAGTCGAATACACTTGGTGCCAACATACAAAGCACCACCATCTCTCCTGAAATTCAGACAAGTGATGCATTAGCCACAAGCAGCTCAGTGATTGGATCTTTAAAGAGCATTTCATCTTCATCTCCGCCTTCTGAGAGTATTGCACCTTCAAGTGGTGCAAGACCATCGTCGCCGCAAAAAGTGGAGACTTCTAATATTGTCGCCACTATCAAGCAATCTCCTGAAACCTCTCCTTTGATGTCTGGTGTTGAATCAAATGCTGAAAAAGCAATATCAAGAAGTATCAATGTGGTTTTAAGCGAACCCTCCGCTATCATCGATAGTGAGAAATCTGTGGCAAATTTCACCATTTCGGATGTGGCGAACTCAGATTTAAATATTGATGGCGATGAAGGTTTTCATCAATCAGTCATCAACTTGACGCGTTCATTCGGTCCTGCACGTGACACAGCAAGCAGGTCCGCAAATATATTAATAGTCACAGCGGTGACTACAAATATTGCAAGTGCTGTTATCAGCATAGCAACGAGCAGTACGGCTGCCATATCGAGTGCCACGACAGGAATGGCGGCAACTCAGGGATGTTGGAATACTATCGATGGTGGCGTAATTCGAGCAAACTGGGGACATGAAGCGCCTGTTGTCGATTTCACTGACTTTTTCATGTTGATCAATTATTTGCAGTTCGTATCATCAACCAGCCATCTTAGTCTTCCAACCGCTCCTGATTTTTTTTTTCAGTTTACGGACGCATTAGGATGGTGCAATTTACAGCCTACCAGCGCACATGAGTCTTCTAAAAATAATGAGGAAAAAGGGAGCCTTGTGAGTGAGAACATTTCAAATTTCACGGTCGCGGATGGTGATATCATATCAGGAATACTTGCGTATGCAGAGAGAATCAATATTCAACCAGAAGAGCTTTTTCCAAAAACTGCTATAGTGTTTGGAAGTATTGTCGGAGGCGTAGCAGCTGTTGTGGCAACGCTCTATTCGCTGTTACGCCTTGTGCTGCGCGAACAATATGAGCTTATTGTTCAGCGACTTGACGACTTACCCCGTGCCCGACTCTTGATGCGCCTGTTGATCCAGTCTTGTCTATCTGTCTGCCTGCTAAGCGAGTATGCGCTTAGTATGACCAGCTCGTTCCAGATGCGTTATAATGAGCAGGATCAGCAGCACAACAGCAGCAGTGCCTTTGCCTTCGCAACAGTAGAACTCATTTTCGTTTGTTGTGGCTTAATTGTTTTAGGGGTCGTCAAGATCAGGAATAAAAGCGAAGATGATCTGTTAAATCCAGACTTTAAATTTGCATGGGGAGCCTACTACAAGTATTATCATTACGAGCAACGTTACTTTTTCGTGGCTAAAATGGGTGCAGAAATTCTTTCTGGCATCATCATTGGACTTGTGAGCGACGTGCCTTCCCAATTGACACTGCTCATGGCATTGCAACTTGCCATGTTCCTTTACACGGTCGAATGTGCACCGTACACGATGGATTTTCAGTCAGTGTGTTCTTCAATTGCCTTCGTCATGAAGATGGTCACATATGCGCTAATTTCTTCATTTCTAACACCGGCAACGGATGTTACCTTGCAAGATTTTATCGGCACACTTGTCATTATGCTGCAATTGACGCTTCTCGTGCTACACAATTCTCGTCAGCTGTATGTCTTATACAAACAGACGACATATCTTTGGGAGATACGGCAAAAACGTCTGTTACATCGCCTGGAAATGAAGGATAAGAATCACGCTGTATTGGCATAAAAAAGTTTGATGTTGCTTTTGGATATGTAAATGCACCAGCCACAAGTTCAATAGACAACCATCGGAACGCAACAATTACCAAGTAGCCCTTATTTCTGTGGCCGCCTGTCAATCAGGTTTTTTGAACAAGTTAAGAACCAGACATCAGTGACTACCGCATGAAGAAAGCAGTTTGGTCATGCGCTCATCAAGTTGTTGGATGTTTGTCTGGAAAACTTGGACGTTTTCAGCCAGACTTGCCTCCATCTAGCACAATTTTAATGAATAAAAGTGTCAGTATCATTATATTCTCAAATCAGCTGGTAAGTCAATAGGAGCACGTCTGTTAAAGTAGACAGCTCGAACAATATTACTTACATTGGCAAGAAGAACCATATCCGAATCGAGCAACTCGCTTAACAACCCTTGTGTTTGCTCCATCTTGTCCATTCGATTTGTCACGTCAAGAGCTTCATCGTGCACCGATTTTAATGTAACAAGACGATCCACAATTGTTGGGACTGATGCCGCAACAGCGTTAAGATGTCCTAACTGATCGTAGATCTTTTGAATCTGATCGCGGTCAGCCTGCGAATTCAGCGCCCCTTGTACACTTGGCGACTGCTTTAGTTTGCTGAGTAATTTTAGTTCGTGAACAAGTGCGGTAGTGCGCGTTTTCACGGCGTCTAAATTCTTCTCGCTCATTAATGCAACACGTTGCTCTAGTTGCGCAATGGATGACGTTAAATTCACATTACACGCCCTACCAGGTGCGCTCAAACCGTCCATTTGCAGCTCCTGGCCTTGAAAACTGCCAACTGCTCTTTCCAGTGTCGAAATTCGCGCCTCAAGTGCAGCAATTCGCGCCTTGGCGTCTCGATCGACAGCATTTAACTCGCCGTTGCTGTAAACTTCATACACAACGGGTGCACTGTCGCTTGACGATGATGCTGCCGCTCCCCCCTGTTGCTGACGCTTGAGTGCGTCAATTTGCTTAAAAAACTGGGCTGTCAAATCTTTCTGTAACGTCAGTGCCACATCAGCATTAGAAGGGACTGCATCAGAGCGCAGGTACGGCTGAAAAGCCGAGTTTTTGTCTAAGGCCGAAAGATTTAACTGCAACGTGTTGAGCCCCTGCATGACTTCGCTAAATTCGGCTTCTTGACCAGCATCTACCATCACTCGGTGCTTTTTGTTCTTGGCATCGGTTGCCAAAAGCGTCAGATCCTCCTCTAGCTCCTTTAGCTCAAGTGACAGCCGTGTAAATCGTGCCAGTGGAGATTCTAGCTTTGATCTGCTTCCTTTTTCAGTTGAAATCTCGTACTCTGTTTGTTCGGGTAGAGTAGGCTCTGCAGAAGAAGAAATGTTATGATTTACTTAATGACTATTAACGATAATGACATTCGACTACTCACTGTAAATCTTGCCCATGAAGACCTCAAAGGCTTGCATAGCCGGGATATCCTGCTCGTCCAGCTCCGTAGAACTCTGAGCCGTATGGTTGTGTGACAAGATTTATGCTGATATAGTGAAGAAACTGGCCATACCTTATTGCGGAAGTGGCCTTCGACTTCAGGATTATTCCCTGGGGCTCCGCGAGATGGACGTACGGAAGAATTTGCCGGAGCGTACGGCTGAAAGTATCCATCCGGCTCAAGTGTCTCGAAAATCTCGGTGCTCATTATCTTCCTCCGCTTGATTCCCTCTTTCTCAGTTGAATAGTCCATATTAAGAAACTGTGCTGAATAAAAGGGTAAATTGCTCCATAATTTGCTCCCGCAAATAATCAGTTTTTGTCATTAGAAATACGCAATATGCCGAAATGTGTAAAGGTGTAATAATTTCTCAATTTTTGATCTCGACGGCACAAAACTTTCAAGGGCAAGAGCTTTCAAATTGAAGGCACAACATGATGCATGGGTGTGGTATGTCCACCTAAAGTGCGGCTGTTATTTATAACCTCTCAATATACACCATCGACGTACTCCCTAATCGCGTCACATTTAGACATGCAACACTCAGGATAGCTCCCGAGCCCCGTTCAGCGTGGATGATTGCCATAACATGGTGAGATAATATTCGAGTAGATGTTTTGTGCAGTTATGATGCAGACCAGATCGGCAACATCATAAAATGCCAGCATGCTACCTTTACGTTCAATTGCACGGTCGCTTGTTGCCAATTCTGAAGGCTTAGCTTTGGCAATTTACATTAGATTGCGTAGCAGGAATGCAGAGTTGTATGGCATGAGTAATTAATACATTAACACACTGAAAGGTTGGCCATAAAAATAGAAAACCATAATATACCGAAATTTTGCATCACGAAAAGTGTATCAACATTGTATACAAATTTCATGATTTTGTTTTGCAACGGAGGAAGTGGTAACAACGACAGTATCTGATTTATTAATCATCATCAATCGAATCAGAATCTTTTCTAAATCTGTGGACTTAGTCCATGTGTTCTTACACTACAGGCGGTGACATAGACGTAGTGATTCTTGCGAAATATCATGCTTGTCAATGTTTGATTCTCACAGCTTCGATTGTATTCTTGACAATAATCATTTTCAACGATTGTTTTGTTTGCAACTCATCTAGCCTTCTAATAAAAAGAAGTAGACGGCTAATAACGGAAATAAAGTCCAGTGTCCTGACGCTCTTCACTTTTTGGTGTAAGACCCGTCTCGCCCACATCCCGCAAAATCTTATAGCGCTCCGTGTCAGCTTCGTAGTCCTCAAAGCTCTTAGCGCACTCCAGGGCATGTTTTTCTGCGAGTTGCGCGTACTCGGATGAGCACTGTTGCATAAACTGTATTTCCTCGGTGGTGAGGTCACGAAGATAACGAGCTGGAACTCCAGACCAGAGCTGGCCTGAGGGCACCTGCTTTCCATAAGTTAAAACAGATCCAGCAGTAATAATAGACTTGGCTCCGACTACAGCACCGTCAAGCACCAAAGCGCCAGTGCCTATGATGCAGTGATCCTGAATGGTGCAGGCGTGCAAGATAGCAGCGGGGCCAACAGTTACATTGTTGCCAATCTTGGTAGGGATGTCCTTGTAAATTTTGGCCACATGAACCACTGCCTGGTCCTGAATGTTAGTGTTTTCACCAATGGTAATGTAATTGACGTCCCCGCGCACGGTAGCATTGTACCAGATGGAGCTTCCCTTGCCGACTTTGACATCGCCTATCACTGATGCATTTGGTGCCACAAATACACCATCTTCAAACTCTGGCGAGCGTCCCAAATTCTTGACAGCACGCGTCGACGGGTTCACTGCGAAAATCCGGAGGTGTACTTAGAATTATCGTGCCATACAAAAATGAAGACTGATCGGCATAATGCCAACTTCTCTTTTTCCTAAACTTACGATGCTCTGTGTAAGTAAATTTTCCCTCCAAACTGACACCGACTCGGTCAATCGTCTGCCCAAGGGACCGGATGGCTTTCCCTACTTTTCTCAACGACATGCCTCTTTAGTTTTTTGGCCTCCCATTTTTCCGAGGTCTTTAAATGTTTTGATTGGATAAAATGATACTGCCATAACAAAATTGATGTAGCTAACATACATAATAACATGAACGTCGAATCGATGCGCGACTTCGACTACTCGATGCGAATGAATGTAGCCAACAGTTTGCTCTGTGAAGACCATTACCCCTCGTTGCTGGTGAAGCTTCATCTTTCCAAACATGATGAGATAGAGCGGCAGGTTGTTACGGATTGACCTGGACCTGCATGCACAAACATGTTGAGCTAATTATAATTTGCAATATCGCAGGTAATGCTGGAATTTAGTCGTGAACAGCTTACTCTTCTTCTACAAGACTTCAAGCACATTTATCAGGAGTTACAGAAAAGTTAGACGCAGTGTAATCACATATAATCTCTACTTGCTCCATTGTCCTTAGTGCTGGCATCTATATACGAGCCAACTTGCATTTCAACTATCCTTTCTCCTATTATTTTTGGACTTGGACCAACTTTCTTCAGTCAATAGCTTAATCGTCCATAAAGAAAAAGTTGCCCGAGCTTTTTTGCTCAACATCCTTCACAGAGTCAAACTTGTTTATGCGCGGGCGATAATTCGTTGGGTCTCGTCGGAATGTAATCTCAAGCTGCTTTAAGAATGTGTTCATACCCGTCAACAAGCTCTGAGGGGAGTGTGCTGTACACTCGATGCCCGGAAGTCCATCATACACAACAACGCGGTCGGCTAGGTATGTGGCCATAATGAAATCGTGTTCTACGACAAAAGCCGTTTTTTTGGCGTGCAAAATAAAGCGCTTGATGACCTTAGCGGTAAGAATACGCTGCTCGGAATCCAGGTAGGCAGATGGCTCATCGATCAGGTAGATATCAGCAGGCTTACCAAGACACAAGATGATAGCGACACGCTGCAGCTCGCCACCAGACAGATGAGGCACAGCCTGGTCAATAATGTTGTCGAGTGCAAGCGGCTTAGTAACATCCGTCGCAAATTGTGGATGAACAATAGCTTCACGTATGCGACGGTGCAGCAGCTCACGCACCGTGCCTTGAAATTTGGGCGCAATTTTTTGCGGCTTGTAACTAATCGTGGATGTATCGTATCGTAAAGCGCAATTTGAAATGGCATCACTATCACCAGTCTCCTCGGCAGCTTCCATTTCATCGGATTTGAGCAGACCAGCAAGCATTCGAATAAAAGTAGTCTTACCGGTCCCATTCTCACCGAGCATGCAAATAATTTCCGAGTTTGTGAAATCGCCAGCTTCAACGTGCAGCTTGAAAGCAGTGTCTTTCTTTTTTTTGTACATTGTTTTAGTCATGGCCGGGTAGTTGAAAGAGTTAGCATCACCTTCGCCCGTGCTAAATTCGTCAGCATTCTGCGAGACTTTGAACGTGAGCTCTTCCGCTCTAAAACGTAAATTTTCCGTTGGAACAAAACCAGAAAGAAAAATGTTGATGCCTTCACGCACGCTAAAGGGCATCGTGACAACCCCGTATGCTGAAGGCGTACCATACAGCACACAGATAAAGTCAGATAGGTAGTCTAGAACACTCAAATCATGCTCGACACAGATGACGTAGGAGCGGCTATTGTCATCCACCATGGAGCGGATCACCAGAGCTGCTTTAAGACGCTGACGTACATCCAGGTACGAGGACGGCTCGTCGAACATGTAAATGTCCGCCTTCTGCACTGCTACCACGGCGATTGCAAAACGCTGCAGTTCCCCACCGGATAAATTTTCAATCTCTCGGTCTTGTACATGCGATAGATCCAGCTCGTTCAAAAAGTGATCAAGCTTTTCCTGCTTTTCACAACGAGCAGAGAGAATCTCAAGAACGGTACCCTTGACAGCTTTTGGAATCTTGTCCACATACTGTGGCTTGGTAATTGCCTTGAGATTGTCCTCAAGAATGCGCGTAAAATAGTTTTGCAGCTCTGACCCACGGAAGTGGGTCAGAATTTCTTGCCATTCAGGAGGGGCGTCAAACTTTCCAAGATTAGGCTTAAGCTTGCCGGCAAGTATGCGCAGCGCCGTGGACTTGCCAATACCGTTCGTGCCAACAAGACCAAGCACCTGACCTGGACGGGGCATGGGTAGACGATGGAGCTTAAAAGTATTTGCGCCGTAGCGGTGCGTAGTGTTGCTATCGAGGTCCTTGGGCAGGTTAATGATATTGATTGCCTCGAATGGACACTTTTTTACACAGATACCGCAACCGATGCAGAGCTGCTCCGAAATGAAAGCCACTCTGCTCTTGGGCGACACCTCAATGCAGAGTTTACCCATACGCACCACGGGACATGACTTCTTGCACTCTTGGCGACATTTTTTGGGCTTGCACTTGTCAGTGCTAACGATAGCGATCCGTGTCAGTTTGTCGGACATCTTGACCTATGGTTTCCGTATTAAAGAGTAAATCGCCCCCTTTTTGGCTGGCTCAGCCGTTCCTGAAATACCTACCCTCAGCAGATTATCTTTAAACAAATGAATTGGATGAAAAGTCCATTGGTTGTAGAAGATTTTGAGCAAATTGTTACAAATAGCTGTCCTATCGAGTCCTATCAGTTCTAGTGAAAACGACTTCTGTATGCAGAAACTTCTTTAAGGGTGTCAATCATAATATTCCTCTATGCCGCATCTCGAATGCTGTATTTTCAAAAGCTCGAAAATAACTTCTTGGTCAGTAAGTCGGATTAAGCTAGGTCGCATGTCAGAAAATGTTGCGGGATTGTAACGGGGTTACACGTACCGGGCAGGTCACACAAGATAGTGTGATCGTTCAAATGTATAGCAAGTTGGTGTGATCACGCAATGGTGACTTAACAAGAAGCCACTTACGTGTCAGGACTGCCAGTAGTTATGCATATGAATTAGGATATACTATTTAATCAGGAAAACCTAAGGTTTTAGGGGTAGGCGGATCTGCCGCAAATAAAACAATTAGATACAGTATCAATTTTGAACGGAAGACCGTCTTTGCCTTGGTTCAGGTTTGAAGTACTATTGGAGGTAGCGGATTGCGATCCGCTACACTCGTACTGGTTCTTGTACGTAAGGTCGGTGACGTCAGCTTAGCTTCTTCTAACCAAAGAGCCACGGCAGCCCCGCTGCACTTGGTAGCACTTTTACACAATCTACGCCTGAGTCGTTACGACTGATCCTCTGTGAGGATGGATCAATACTCCTATGTGCCCCAGGGCATGCGGGACGGGCTTAATTAGCTGATGTCCCTACTGGGCCCTGAAGGACCCAAAGCGAAAACGTGCGCCTGGAGGTGTTTTCGAGCTATGAAATGCTCTGCTAGAGCACCTACAGCAGAGGCTGTCGGCGTCGACGGGGTCCATGACGCCAACGTCGACGACGGATGACTCCTCTCGATTCAGGTCGCTCATGGTGAATGGTAAGACCTTCGAGGGGAAGGATGGAGAGAATTCCCCGCTCTGGGTAAAAGAGGCCGAGGTGACCATGGCATCCGCCATGCTTTAGAACGAGCAACAGCGCGTGGCGCAAGCTATCTCCAAGTTCGGGGGCCGAGCGCAAGAATGGGCACTAACGTGCGGTGCTTCGGTTGAAGCGGCCCTCCCTGAAGGTCCTGATGCGCCAGTTTTTGCGAGTATTCTCGCCGCCGAACAGGCATATCGCGTGCGATCGCGTTTCCTTGCCGCCCGACAGGGCAAGAAGGAGTTGGTGGACTTTGTCCAATTGTTAAGAACCCTCATTGCCAGGACGGCAGCCAATCATCCGCCCAAGGCGGTCGCAGTGACCGTCTTAATGAAAGGGCCTCCGCACTGGCGTGGTCAGAATGGAATACCTCCGTGTGCGTCCGTCTTCTTTTGAAGAAGCGGTGAATGTGGAATTGAATGCAGAATTTAATGTTAAATCGGCACGACTTTGATGAGATGCGCGCTCTCAGAGCTCACCCAGTGGACCAGAGCCAATGGATCTCAGTTATGCTGAGAAAGGGGAGGGAGAGCCCTTAGCTACCGGGCAGCGTTTAAACACCCGACGGTATTTTATCTGTGGGAAAACCCGTCACTTCGGACGGATGTCCCCTGCGCAAGGCGCGTAAAGCCTCATCAAACCGACGCCCCGCTTCTAACCAGTCTGGTGTGTCCCGGGGAAACAACAAAACCTAGTAGGCGCGGAAGGACCTACTGGGAAGAACTGAGTTCTGATGTGCCTTAAAGAGGTAGAGGGCATCAGGGCCCAGCCTCGAAGAGCTTCGTCCTCCTGAACATAGAACGTGTGTGCAAGCCGAGCTTGCTGGTCGTAAAAGGGGCCATGAAGGGCTTTGAAAAGCCTTATAATATTCGTACCGTATCCGGGACGTCGAGCAATGAGCTCCACGATCGAAGGAAGTTAGCTGTATGCGGAGGCGCTGGAAGCGCGGTTGGGTGACATTGTCGCTGCTCGCTTCGCGATGGGGATATGTGTCACTGCACCGAGGGTCCTTGGATCTCGGTGTCAAGTTCCTTGACTTTGATAGCGTGGAATGCTTTTTAGACATAAATTTGGATGCAAGGAATGACCTAATTCTTGGCATGGCATGATTGGAACATTATAAGGATTGATTGGAGGTCGAAGACCATGAACGCTACGCGCACGTCTCCTACTGGAGCATTGGTGAGTCATGAACCCATCTCTGCTAGGAAGCAGAAGCTCTATGGCGCGGGCACTAGACCGGGACGGTCAGCGCTAAAAATTGGTGTTTCCGAGTTGTCAAACACCGAATGTGTATCGGACAAGATTTTTTGAGCATGGCTCGAGAAGTTTAAGGGGGAGTGGCACGTAACCCTTTGAGCACTGCTCATGTTTCAAAGAAGTTTTTGCATACCAAGAGTGGCATGGTCGGACGAGGTCTGAGGCATCTTGGACATGGCCCTTCTGGCGCGTAGAGCGGCACGTTATCCACTGGACGAAGACTCCGGAAATAGCGGCTCTTAGTCAGATGTTGTTAATAACATCAAGGCTCCGATGGAAATGGGAAGACTGGACGAGGCCAAGTGCGTGTTCCCACTGGTCTCGATGAGACGTAGAACCTCTATAGAGAGGAGACGGCAAAGCCGTATGATTCGTGCAAGACGCAGGGCGTCGACCCTGGCCCAGGGTGTGTCTTCCGTAGACAGTAGCGCACGGCTATACACTCTTGTCAACGGTATGACGGAGGGGAAGACGGCGACGTCCTTTTCCACGGTGGATGCTCTTCTTGAGCTGGACAAGATGTACATCGCGTTTGGCGTTGCCTTGAATGCAGGCGAGTAGTCATTGTACGACCGAACGAGGAGATTAACGCGTCGTCGAGTCTGGATGAAGCTGTCCTGGAGGACACCAAGAGAGTGCTGAACGCACGAAGTGAACCGTCGATCCTGAAGGCTCCTTCGAATTTGTACTTTCCTTTCGTAAAGGAGTCTCAGGACGTCAAATCCTAAGACCCGCCGTCGGTCCTACCTCCGGACCGAGCTGTGCGTCATGAGATCGACTTGGTTCTAGGAACCAAATACTGCGTAACACGCCAATGGCTTCTGCCCAGGGAGCAGTGTGACGCCATTGACGCCTTATTCCGTGCGAAGCATGACACAGGAATGGTGCGTGGGAGCAAGTCTCCCCATTCAACACCCACATTTTGTGTCCGGAGGCCGAACGGCAAGCGGCGTATTGTTCACGCTTACAATAAGCTCAACGCTGCCACCATTCCGGTACTAACGCCAATTCCTAGGAAAGATGTTATCCAGAACGACATGAGCAACAGAAAAAAGTTTCATTATCACACTATTAACCGAAAGTAATAGTGTGCAATATAACAATTTTCATTATGCTTAAACAAAATAAATCAGTGGCCAA